CAGATTCTAAAATAAATAGTCCAAACGTAAAATGAAAGCTCGAAAAACATATCAAAATATGCTTCGATAAATAATAAACAAAAAATCTTTATAATTAAAAGAACAAGTACTTTTATGTTCTGTTTCTTTGGCCCAATAAATCTAACATTGCATTATTAATTTGCTTCTTCATGCCAACCATAAAAAAAGTTCACTAGACCTACCATGCCCACTCAGACGAGATACATCCGAATACAAAGGATTGAAACTGATCGAATCATCTGCTTCGAGGCCAACAAATTTCTTTTTTTTTATTTAACAGTAATGGGAAAGAAGCTGGTTACGTATTCATCTTCTACTCTTTGAATAAGGTTAAAAGGCGGCGCGATTGCTTCTTGATGGACACACAAAATTGACCATCCGATCTCCCTTTCACCGACTGGCATTGAGACCACGCCACAAAGAGGGGTCATCGACGAAATGACGTTGGACGAAGGCGTAATCTGGGTCGTCGGTGGTTAATTACCATGGCCCTTAATCGCTTGGTGCACGCCCCACGTGGGGTGTTGCACCGAATGAAATCTTCCCAAAGGCCTTGAAGATGTAATAAAATTACGCAATGATGCAATTCTATTGCATCTTCAAGGAGGCAAATATTGTCACTTCGGCAATTACTTCGACGTCCGTTGCGGCTACGTAATGGAATCGTCCGTTGTTATAATTAATATGGGAGCCATGAATGGGATTCGAGTGGGTCATGCATGAAATTCGCGTGGGAACCACAATGGAGGCCGATCTTTGTTGCAAGGAGCGGCGATCATTGGACTTTTAAGAGGGCAAAAGTTGCCATAGGTTTATTTACCTTTGTGGGTTCTGTTACGTGAGCGGTTTCTTGGTGGAACTGTGCTTTCTGACTAGGCTAATTAATACTTATGCCTGAGTTCAGAATTCCAGTTAATAATAATGCAACTGTGAAGTAAAATTAAGCCATTGTATTATAAAGGGTTTGTGTCAATGCTAAATTGTAATTATAGTAACGTATAATTATTATATCTCATTTATGAAAAATGGAATACAAAAATAATAATTTCTAAAATATTGAGGACAAGAATAATAATTTAAGAAATCTAGTACATTGGTAAAAGAAAATTGATATAATAATAAAGTATACTTATAATATATCAAATACAATTTTTATAATGGGTACCACTTTCTAATAACGTTATCGATTGAATTAGTTATGTAGCAATTAATTATTAATGTCGTACATAGCAATGGATTGGAGTTATATATTTGAAGAAAGTTACGGAAGCAAGAGGCCGAAACACAAAGTATTGGCCTACAACAAATAATAAGCCAATAGAAAGTTGCAAAACGTAAATCCCCCGCTAATTTAACATTAGACTCCGAGACAGTCAGCTACCTGTTTCGTAAAAGCCAAGTGAAAACGCTCGGCGCGTTTCCAAAGGTCGGACACTGTTTTAACAAATCGCGATTCAGCCTTGCGTTCGGTCAGTTTCAAGGTAACAAGCAAAGCACTCGATGCTCTCTTTACCCGTTCCTTGCACACGCGGCGCAAATTTTCACCCGAATTCCACGAGTAAACGTAAAAGTGAGTCGTCGCGCTATGTTCCGCCATTTTGAAGTTGCAGAAGTCGAATCCCCAATATAAGAACCGTTTAGAAAGCTGAGGAAACAAACAGGGAAGAGTGTTAATTTAAACTAGGACGACGTGAAGAAATTGAGCGATTATTATTTTGTACAGCGTTATGTAAATTGAATAAATAGTATACGATCCTTCTTTTGATGAGTTTTTTCGAATCGTTTATCGAGTAGTTTCCTTTATTTGTCAATCTTGTACAAAGCAGGACTAGAATGCATGATGGTTTTATTTATTCTTAACGTTTTAATCTCAAATTGAATCCACTTCAGGTATGATTGTGAATTCAGTTATCCTCATATTCCTAATATTAAGCATTGTGGGTATTAATAATTAAAAGACTCTTGTTATTCGTGTATTATATAAGTATATTAAATTAAGACATGAATTTTAATGAATTCATTCTGATTTTATCAGTACTCTTTACTCGTTGCTATTCATAGAAAATATTCTAATTTATTATAACTTGTTCTTTATGGATAATAAGTAACAGATCAAGATAAATTCCTGATCTAATAAATTTACTGCTGCTTGGAAATATGATAATACGATAATGGTAGAAATTTGAGGTATGTGTACTGTTCTAACTAGTGCTTCATCAGTCACAACTTTATAATTAAATGATTAATTAATTTCGAGGGAACCAGGTCTGCCAATTTGAGTATGTAAGAATTAAATTAATCTCATAAACGTTACTTAATTGAAGTAATCACTCTTACATCATTGAAAGTAAAGTCGCATACAGCGCTATAATTAGATATTTAGCGCGTGCTAGCTGGTTTCTTCTGTCTCATTCTATTCCATAAATGTATGACCGGTATGTATGAACCGACAAAGTAACTTGTCCGTTTTCAGCAAACTTCATCTAATAGATTGCGCAGCCTATAAAGCACTATTAGAACAGTATGAAGTATATATAATATTGTAAAAAACAAAAAATCAGATTAGAAAATTGCAGAAACATTAGTCGAGTCCTAATTGATTACACGACACAATTAACTCGAAGTCCTCGAGAACTTAAATCTTCCAATTAAAAATATACATTATATATTTAAACAGGACGTGTTAAAATTTAGATATTGCAAAATATAAAGTATTCTACTACAAACGTTGCAAATGAAATAAAATATTTTTTCTAAATTTTAGCTTCGTTTCCTACTTACACTATTTTAGATAACAAGATTCTCATTTGCAGAGAGTAATTTTTAGTCGACGTAAAACTATAAACCCTCCAATTCATCAATCAACGTTCGCAGGCGTCATTATTCTTTATGCACAATTTCACGACGAAAAGGATACACACGAGTTAACTGCAAGGTGATTAAATATAGGCAACAGTGCTCGTAACGGTAGTTCAAGTCTGACATTTAAACTTTGAAACTTTTTCACCGACACAAAGCTGAAGGACACGTAATTATTACATGCAACTCATAGGTTAACACGACGCAACGGGAACTTTACATGCATTCGTTCCTTTTGTTTCTAATTCTGTACCACGCTAAGTCTGAATTGAAGCCATTTCGCCAATAGATTCGAATTGCGAAAATATTCGAGCAAATGAAGCAAGGTTCGATGGAATTTTAATATTTCGATTAACCAAATGAGACAAATTTGTGTCGCCCGAATAAAAGTATATATTTAGTATCCTTCAGAAAATTATATAATCCCTTTAGAAAATTATTTTCTGAATTCATTTATACCTAATCGTATTTTTCCTTCGTGGAGATTAATTCCACGAATGAGCATATGTGTAACAGAAGTTGCAAAACTCGTTAAGTTAGCAGACCTGCATCACCTAAAGCAAATTCTTGAGTGGAAATTTCAGACGGCTAATAGTGGAATATTTTTCACCGACTACCGGCCAAGCTGGAAATAGTAAAAACAGGAATAAATTTTGGAGCACGGGTTCGCGTTAACGCTCCGTGGAGTTCGCTAAATTATTTTATTCAACATTTATACATGCATAATTTCTCTTACGTGACCTCATTATCTGGATCGCTACTTTTACATAATAATTTCACCGCATAAGCTTACTGCAGAACAGTAATTCAACGCAGGATTCAATTTTTCATTGGTCTTCGCTCTCGTACTATAAATCACGCACGCGAAGGACGGGTTTAAAAATTCTAGAATTAATATTGTTATGCTTGACGTTTGAAAAGTACGACGTACAGCGCGCTTACGGATGTCGAGTGAAAAATAATTAAATTATTAATTTAACTGTGCCGCATATGTTGGCATGTTTAGATTAATGACTTTAGGACAGTTGTATGCTATAATGTTTGTGCTTCTCAGATTTCTTTTTGATGCGAAACAATTAATTTCTTCTTGTCACAAATAGTATACTTTTTTAATGTAAGATGACCTATATTATAGTATCGTTAATAGAATATGATTCGTGTTTTATATACAGCAATGAATAATATAACAATAAACTGAAATAACTTGATCTAATAGACTAGATTAGGTAACACTCCTATACAGCAAAACTAAACTAAACTAAACTAAATGAATATCACTTATAACTAGCCAGAAATTAAATTGGGTTGTAAATGTGTAATAAAAATGTCGCAGGAGAAATAGATACTTTAATGTATATTATTTTTGTTACCCAAAAATGCAAGCAATTTATTCTCCAATTATCGACAAACGTTCAAAAATTCTTCGACTCGAAGGAAAGTATTCGATACCGATAAAATCGTGCAAGGTGTAATGAGACACATATAGCGAGCGAGCATTTGAGTACCGAGCATACAGTGAAAGGTTTAAGGCGGACAATAAAAATTCGTCAGCGCTAGATCGTTAGTCCAATCGAGAACTTAAGAATGATTTTCAAGTGTCACGAGAAACTGGAACAACCTGCCAGGCAACGTGTGCTATATACTATATACTATATAGTTACAGCAATGGTAATACAAGAGGACGACAAATTAGATCCATTCTCTCAATCAAAAACTAGCTGGACGCTCGAAACAATTTTTCATCGACAGCCACCCACGAGCGTCGATGCACGCGAAATAATACTTCAACGTCTTAATCGCTTATGTAATAATCGAGAACCCAGCGATTTCATTGCGTCGAGAAGAGCTCGAAAAAAGAGTATTGCGAACTGGTTTCGTAACCACCGACTTCGCACTCTTGCTTTCCTTATCAAGATCTGCGATCGGCCAACCGGCAAAAATCTGTAGCAATTTCGGAGTCCTCTCCTGCATTTCGAGTAGACGAGCAAAACTGAGGCGTGATTCTTTTTTTGGAATAATAACGGGAAGAATAAGGAAAAAGAATAAGAGAATTAGGTTTAAATATTTGATGATATTTTTGAAAATTGAATACTATATTACATCTATTATTAAATCGAATATCATAATTGAATACTGTATTCGTTATCTGACATATGTGTGACATGGACGTTCAATGTTTGCGCAGATAGAATAACGAATTCAGTATTTGACTATTCCAGTACAATTCGAATATTTGAAATACTGTTCGTGTATTTGAATATTCACAGCATGGATTATGTGGACTATAACGATTTGGAATGAATCGAAATTGAAGTTTTCTCAGAAAGTATCTCAGATAAAAAATATGCATATGTAACGATAAAAAGTGGTATCCTGAATATAGATTTCAAATTTCATGTCAATCGGATAAGTAGTATCCGTGAAAAGTTATCCACCAGTTTGAAAAACCGGTTTCGAGAAAAAGGCGTTTAAAAGTTAAGGATCGATTACTTATCGCTGCGACACGCTTCGTGGAAAACGTTATAACTTCGTTAATATTAATGAATTTCAGATGAATATAGTATTCTCAAAGTATTTTAAGAAGTCACAAAAGAAATTTAATTTCGTTAGAGTATCAGCCTTCGTTGTAACGAATCGTACACATACATTTGATTTTATATCTACACGTGCTCTCTTGGAATACATCACTTAGGAAAAATTAAAAGTTCGTATGCTTTTTCTTCACAAATAAATGGTAAGTTTATCTCGGAAAGATACGGAATTAATTTCTACACCTAATAGAGAAGACCGGACTGAAATGTTCGGAAACGGTCGTTGAACCGATCGTGGCAGTTTTGATGTTAAAACTCCATCCTGGCGACGAGTACGCACAGAATGTCCCACTATCAAACTGTCGAAACGGTAGCAGCCGTACTCGAGACACGCAGGAATGCGAGTCTCATTTAGCCGATAAAACTCAACCGGCGTCAAAGTCGTTCGGCGGTCCGAGACGGTTGCGATCGATTTTCCAGATTCTCGAGAAACCGGGCCAACCTGGTGGGGAATATTTAGGGAATATAAGGTGCTGTAACAAGACAAGGCGGCCGTATATACAGGAGTCGAATAGATAGTGAAAGTCCCCCAGAGCTAACAGGAGCGTAGAGGGCAAGAGGGGGGTAGGAACGGGGGACCCCAGTAAGGTATATGAGGGCCTCAGTTCGAGCAACCGCTGGTACTCTAGCCTCGCTGCCTACTTACATTCACACACACTAACACAACTCACCACCTGGAACACAATGCACACCGTCGCGACGGTACGTATTCAAGTGCGCCATCATCGTCATCGTTCTAATTCCACCAGCCATTCGCAACAATTTTCGCCAACGACGAATACCTAAAACCTTCGTCGATCGCGTACTCGTTGATATCCGCCAGCGTCGTCGATGATCGACGACCGATCGATCCCAGCGTGGAACGTGATCTCGCGTGTGATGTGATCGTTTCTGGTCGTGACGGGGACTGTGCTTGTGATTTGTGCATTGGTACACCGCGATTGGATCACGACAGCCGCCGGCAGGGGAACACGCAATTCGGCGATTCCGTTAGCTGCTCTCCATCGAAGATTTTGTAACGCCTGCGATTACCAAGGTATTTTAGCGAATGATTAACGAGAATTACGCTTTGAACTTACTGTTTCGTTTGCCATAGTTAGTTTTCTTCTAGTCGTCCTCCTGCAACGGCTCTCTCAACGACGGGAGTTTTTGAAAGCTGTCTCGAGAGTGTTGGCCATCTCGTGCCTGTAGCCACGTCCTCGTAGTCCTTTTCGAGGCTTTCATTGGTATCGAACCGTTTACTCCTGAAGTTTTGGGAAAAGGTAGAAGTCGCATTAGATAGCAATGAAGACTTTGGCAGGACTCGGAGGAAGTGACCGAGGGTGCAACATGGTCAACTCTCTCGTGGTGGCTTTTAAGAACTTGTTCATCGTTGAGGGAGATGCGTGGCGAAGGGAGGACATTGTGTGGAGAAATAAATATGGGAACTGAAATGGTGAGTTTCAAGTATTATTTTTGCTTTTCATTCGTTAAAATATCTTGATTTTGTAGGAGTTATAAAATTAGAGATATTAATTTTTATTCGATCAATGTACGAACAAAATTTCTATTCAAATAATAGATAAGGAACGAAAGTTCAATCTTAATAATCAGCAATATATTAACGACCTTTCGATTGAATGAACTTCAAGATCTTTGATACCGATAGTTATCTTAAATTTCTGACGAAAATTTCACAAAATTAATTTTCATGTGTATCGTTCATCAGTAAAATTCTGCTAACAGTTTCAATTTTTAGAAATTGTGATATTCGAAAGTAACGAAAGAAAAAGTATTATTAGATTGTATTATGAGAGAATGAATGAAATTACTGACCTACAAAATAAATTTTATATTAGAATCTAGAAAATCATTCTTATTTCGTGGTTCTGCTGTTTATTATCATAAACATTATCTATCCAAAATGTTTTATGAAATTCTAGTTTAAAACTTCAAGGTAATCTTTATTATTGCAGATCTTCATAATGATAATACATAAAGTCGAAACTTCATTAATAAATTGCTCAATAGATTGTTGAATGGGCAATTCAATTCTTATTTGCTCATTGTGAAACCTATAATTCTCTAATTCAAAATTTCATTTTCACTCAAGTTAAACATCACCGTACCAGATTGCGGTCCCGCACACGGCTCAATTCTACGAACGCGGAGAAATATGCACCACCTCGTGTATCGGCTATCGAGTTCGCGCTGGTTGCACGAAGATTATTATCTGCCCGTGAAAACGTTGCAACTGCATTACGATTACGGTTATACAACTCGGTCGCGAGATTGGACGTCGTTATCCAACCCTTTTATTTCTAAATTATTACAAATTCACAGTATTTACGAAGATAATTTGCTGGTTGAAAACTAGATTCAGAACTCTTTTCATACTATGTTTAATGTACATATACATATATGAAAATTTGCGTTGCAAAGTCTTCACGGAGGTTGAAGGTCCTTTCGTTTATCCTTTATATTTTTTAAACGATATGATACCACCTGGTATCAAATAATTTTAAATGAAGTGATCAGATTTTCGTATGTATATGTTTATATCAGGGTGCCCTATAAAATTCATTTATGTTTAATAAATATTTAAAAGAAATACAGCGACAGAACGAAAAATTCTAACTGAAGGGGCAACGTATGTTTGTACCCGTATTTACATACAAATCGTCCTTGAAAATTCAGTTCTGTTTGGTAAATATTAAAAAATAAATGTTTGAATTCAGTTAGACCTACTTCAGTAGTACAACAAACATCCTTTAAAATTCTTTCGTATAATAAATCTTAAAACAAGGGATCACGCATGGGGGGTGCTACTGCTACCACCATTCACAAAAGTTAAAAGAATGTACCACGCATTCGCAAATTAGAGAATCTAGATGACATTTAACACGATAATTCGAAATGTGTCGCCATACGGCTGGGAACGAAAGGGTCAATTACGATTGTGTCTGGAGGGGGCAACTATTCCCGTGCCTTTCCACGTTGCCCCGAAAATTATGAAAGTCGTTCGCAGCGCGCGCGCGGAACGGCTTCGTTTCTTCCACCGTCTGCTCGAAGAAACAAAATTATATAATGAGTTACGCCAAACAGGAACACATTCGAGAATTATGTCGGCCAACGTGCGTGGCGATAGAAACCGTTTCTCGCTCGTGGCCATTCGGCCGGAACTGCGCCCGTTGCTCGGATCGAACCAGTAAAACTCGTCGAGCTCCGACCACGTGTAATCTACGCGGGCGGATTCAGTGGGCACGTAACGTTCATGCGCCAACGAGCAGCCAGCTAGCGGCTTGATTACGCTTATTGTTGCGAGAAAGAAAGATCAGGCCGGTCGAGACGTATAACTAATAATAACTTGCTTGACGCACCCCCAAGAATACTACTGCATTTAGGAATTTTAAGATTGAATATCTTTTTAATTTAAAGGGAAAGGATGTAACCGTAGGAAGGTCACATTTAAATACATATATCTTGTAATATTGGAATTGGAAAATATTGGAAAATGGCATCGGATTTTCATTTGAAAGAGCGTTTGATTGAAAGAAATTTTAATTAAACGATATGGAGTTGTAGGAAATATTTGCCTGATTGATTTCAAATTTATTTTCGTCATTTGCGTCATTATATCGTCATTTTGTAAAGTATTCATATTTTGGGGAATCATAGGATATTTTGAAAAATGAACAATCCCCAATTTTGACTAAACTTGGCATACTGATAGGATATTGAAAAGTATTAGACATCACTTTCGATTTATCGGCTGATATCGTATTCAAGGGGTGAAATCTACCCTCGATGTATTGACTGACACACCTGTCCAGGAAACTATGTACAAAAGAATGGTGAATCGAGGCTAGGTTGGAAAGTAGCCTCTGGCTGTACCACACCCTTGTGCAAATTACTTATTCTTATATAAAGCGTACCGTGCACTGTTCCTGTACGTGCAATAAAAACGTCTAATAATTGAAAAAGTGCGTAGCATGAACAATGTTCAGCTATTAAGAATCGATCTATTTTACGTTCCAACTCTTTGATTTAGTGTCACCTTCGGAACATGGAAATGTTATGCTTGAATTTACTAAATTAATTTAATGACACTTCTCATTGTTAATGGCAGACCTCGCTATCTGACTCAATACAGTTCGCTGTTTCTTGGACTGATCTTCCTTTCTCCCTCGAATATTCGCCATTCGCGTGACATATTTCCGTGGCGTCGAGACTTTTACCAAGTACTGCGGAGTCACGATCAAGAATCCGGTATCCTTCGAGTGTGGTTATCTGCCTCGACACGGTGTAATAAAGTCACGTCTGGCGGTTAAGGCTCTGGTAACGCCGGAGGGTCATGCATCATTGCTTTCGGACCTTTCTGCGAGCAATTACGTTTTATGAAGTCTGAACTTAACACTTTGGAGTTTACACGATGCCGGCCGCACGTCGATTAACCGCGTAACATTTTTACTGGCGCCACTCCACGATTATAAATTATTACATACGTGGGCCATACAGAAGATAACGATAAGATAATCGATTACAGAAGTGATTCAAATTTATTCGAATAATTATATTTAATTTTGCTCTCTCATTCTTTTCATTACAACATGAAGTCTTACACGAAATAAAATTATAACATTTAAGAAGCATATCAATTGAAAATTATACTATTATCAGAGTGTGTTACTTCCCAGGTATGAATTACGTATTATAACACAGGTTCCTTGAAACGTAAATTTAATTGTATAGCTTGACTTTTCCGCGAAAAGTCACCCATTTTCCCCAGGAAAGAAACAGCGGAAGTGGAAGGTAGTCTGGTAATTACGGTCGTGATCTTTACGAGTAGTGCTTGCAAACGGTTGGAAATCATTTACCAGAAACGATTGGAAACGACGACGCTGGCAATATCCGACTCGGCGAGTTGAATAGTTTAGTAACATGGATAGTTTAAACACTTTGAAAAACTGGGTTCATACGTAAGTTTGTGCAATTTTATTTTACCCAATATTTTGCTATAAAAAGAATACTTGGCCATGTGTGTTATAACATTCTATAGCTCCTTCCCTGTACAATTTCAAGAATTAATTCCCTATCAAGGAACAACTCTAATCTTTCGTATAAACACTTCGCACGCTTCACATTGACCATCTGCTATGAAAACAACCACATACGAAACGATACAATACTCTTACAATATTTCCTACACAAGACCAAACACTTCTCAATATTTTTAAACACAAATCCCTTTAAAGTGCTCCACGTACATCAAACACACTGCAGAACACACAGCCAAGAAATTCCTCTAAAAATAGAATCCAATTCAAAACAAACCAGCACAAACTTACGCGAACCCAACAATTAAGAATCAATAAAGAACAAGAGCGCATAATCACCAGCATCACGATCATATAATTTCCACTCGCTTTCCCGCTAATAACACGTCTCTGCGCTTCCTCCAGGTACTATTAGCGGTAGCTGCCATACTCTCGGTATCGGCGCAGCAATACCAGCAGCCAGGTGGAAACTACGTCGACGAGTACTCGGGATACGAGTCTCCAAGACCAGCGCATCCGACACCGCGAAGCTACGCGTCGGACTCGGCACCGTCGCGGCAATCCGCTGGCCCGACCACCCCTAAGCCGACACCAGTGGCCATCTTGAAGCAGATCAACCGACACAACGAGGATGGCTCTTACACGTACGGTTTCGAAGGTGCGGACGGCTCCTTCAAGATCGAAACGAAACTGGCCACGGGAGACGTGAAGGGTAAATACGGATTCGTCGACGACACTGGCAAAGTGCGCGTTGTGGAGTACGGAGCGAATCAGTTCGGCTTCCAACCGGCTGGAGAGGGTATCACGGTGGCACCGCCGACGCTGGAGGACGAGACGACCAGCAAGGAAGCCCTGGAAGCTCTGAACTACCAGGACGGTTATCAGCAGCAGGTAGCCAGGCCAGCGCAGTCCAGACCTCAGCCACGCCCAGCACCCCTTCAGCAGATCCAATACGATCAGTCAGCCTACCAGCAACCCCAATCCCACACCCAGGCTGTCTACGCCCAAGCTCCAAGACAGCAGGCCATTCCCAAGCCACCGATTTTCACGCCAGCCGGCGGACCTCAGCCCGGATTCCCCAGACAGAGCCCCATCCTTCAGGGCGACGACCCCTCGCCACCTTCCCAACTCTACAACCAAGGCCCAGCTCAATTCGGTCCAGCACCAGTCCAGGAACACCGTTCCCAACCCCAGCCGCGCAGCCAGAGCGGCGGAATCCTCGATCAGCTGGCTAGAGACTACGCTCTGCCCCAGGGAGGCGCACCGCCCTTACACGACATCAGCTTCGGTTACTACTAAGTCTTCTAGTCCCTCCCGTGTCCGCCAGGGTGGCCCTCGTTCATTTTGGTCTTTTCGTATCGTCTGAAGACGCGATGCTGCGACGGCGTACCTGGTCCTCGAGATCGCTGCGCGCCGTCGATCGTTGCCGAAGGAAAAGGTCAAGGGCTGTCGATACAGAGAGAAATTGGACGGGTAATTGCTGCAAGATAAATTAGTGGATTTTTTTCTGGTAGTGAGAACGATTGGTGGAATCTTCGTGAGGTCATGTTTTGGCTGGAATTGATAGACAAATTGAATTCGAGAGCTGAATCGATGTTCAGGTGAAAATTGAGATTTAAATGATTGATGGACGATGAATATGAAATAAGAATATTTGAAAATGACAATGCAAGTAGTAGCAGGAATATTAAATCAAAAGCTGAGAGTAATAAAGAGGAATAATGAATCAAACTGAAAATAATATGTCTTGCATTTAACAGAGTAAGCAATAATACTTAAAAATGGTAATGCAAGTAGTAGCAAGAATATTAAAGTAAAAGCTGATACTAATAAAGAGGAACAATGAATAAAACTGAAAATAATATCTTTTGCATTTAACAAAGTGAGCAAATTAAGCTCTGTAGAATTGAACACCAATTAATTATCGGACTCTTTACGTTCAGAATATTTTCTTCATAAATGTCCACCGCTCAAGATATCACTAACTCCTTTAAAAAAATATACTGATGTTCAATTCTGCAACTTTTAAATTATCTAGTATTTATATTATTTCTCTACCCAAATAATAGACATTGTCCATCAATTATATACCAAGCTTGAGAAAACCGAGTATTTCTGGTCGAGATGCTACTGAATAAATTATGTGTACGATTGATCCTCACCACCAAAGAAACTACTAATTTCATCTACAATTGTTTCAAGAATCAAGAACAAAGTGATCAATGCATAAACCATACATATCGTTTCTTGTTCTGATTAAGTTTTTTTTCTCACGCGTAAAGGATGTGTCGAAGGTCCTTGATCTTTGTTTCGGTAATACGAGCGAGTCACTGTCATGTCTGCCTACCGAGTCGTGCTTTTGCTTCTTCGATGAGAGCACGGGGTATATTCTTGCCATTGGAAACAAACGCTAAGGGAATATTTGATGAAAGATTGCTCTGATCGTAAACGTCCGTGGAGTGGAAATGTCGGTACTGTTCAAGCAACTAAAAAATTTAATGCAATCCCTATAAGAAAAACTTCCCTAGAAATAATTCTACAATTTTTAATATAATTCTACAGTGTCCAACTAATGAAATTATTTTAAACGTGATTGAAATTTTGGGTCATCCCATTGCGTTTATATTTAATAAAGAACTATAGAAATTTAGTAAAACAGTTAAAGGTATACTTGGCGCGTTAGTTTAAATGCCACGATAATAAGTGGCACGATCTTGTGGGATGACCTAACGTTTCCCCATTTACACTCCACCCCCTGAGAAAAATACATATCGTTGTAAAAAATGGTTAATGCCGTGGCGAGGAAGGTTGTAAAAATATTGTAAATAAAATTCCACGATCCACGGTAGGCGCCCGTGCTGGTTTTAATCCTAGAGAACGCAGTTTGCACGTTGCGGAGATACCGTTGCGGATTTCATTTCAAGGAGAACCTCGTTTATGTCAAGCTGCGTCTTCGAGTTCGCGTCTCGCGGGACTGCATAATGAATTCAGCACGCTTACTATATTGTAATTAGATTATTGTAAGGTAACTAGATTGGAATAAAGTAAGGCCAAACCAACAAGACAACAACTGTAATCGTAACGTCGACCTATTTGTATCTAACGTGAATTAAAATCTGTTTTCATCCCGGATTCTCATTACTGTCCCGACAGATTCGGCGCTGGGCTACTTTTCTTTTTCATTTTCTCGATAAAAGTGAGATAAACACCGACGAGTATCCCGAACGGAAGGTGAAATTGGAGCAGCTTCGACGACTTTCTAAGAGTTCCTGTCTTTCGAACTGGTTCGGCTTACGTAACAACGCGCGACGAAACGACCTTTCGAATTATTCCTTCTATGATAAAAATAACAGAATCGAGTATCGAGTTGTTCCGGAACTGTGCTCGATGGAATTTCAGTTACGAAATTTCAGCGTCGACCTTCACGGTTCTACCGCAGAAAGGGTACTCGGCTTACGCAAATATTACAATGGTGGCGAAGGATTACGATAGGTTTTCAAATAAGAACTAACTCGGCGAGTTTGCTTGTACGATTAAAATCTCGTTCTTTTATTATAGCGATTTTTGCTGGAGGCGACAGGATACGAGAGGTTCTCACAATGCATATACTTTTAGAACGTTTAGCGAATATTTCAATTTTATCGGAGTATGTATCGTTGAGGAATCGTGGACTGTTCCAAGCTGCTACATCAGGTTTATAATTTTGTGGCAAGGCTCGTGCGTTTATGTCATATCGTGGACACTTTCGCGACAATTTTCTCACCTCTTACTTGTATAAATTCTTTAAGATGGTGGCCGATTGGGTAATTACATTCTACGGTGAACCAGTACAAGTTTGTGACAAAATTTGCATACGCCTTCTTGATCCTTCTATGGGGGTCTCAACGTGTTCTTGATTAAATTTGATAAAAATTAGTATCGTTTTGAGATGCAAGTACTGATTAGTCTATAAGAGATTATCCAAGAGATTAGATGAGTGGCTAATCACGAAAAATAATTAAAGAACTTCATGTACTTGTCAAACTTATAATAATAGAAATAATAATAATATTTCATGACTTGTACAAGATTGCACACAAAACAGAAAATCAATTATTAACTGATAAAAAGAAAGAATCAATGTGTAGAAATGTGAATAGATGTTCGTAACAGTACAAAAGCGAGGTACAGCTTTGCATTTGCTATTAACCTAACTTGACCTAAAGTACGGCCTGTTTCTCTTTGTTTTCCACTTATGCTTCCGTGTTCCAGTGACTCGTGCAAGCATTCAAATGAAATGCAATAATTAAATAGTAATTTTGGATTTTGAAAAGAATTGTTAGACTCGAGATTTCATTACATATGTTGGGACCACTTCAGGAGCCTCAAGTTTAAAAATAGGTATTGCAGCGTGTACTAGACGTTCATCCTTGAACGATTGCAACCAGGATTGCACTCTTGTAAAGTGGGTTTCATATTCAGTTCGGCGCCACTGTGCAGAGTTGGTATCAATGCTTCCCAAGTAAATTCTAACGAGAAAGATAATGACCCTTAATCTTGAATGCTTCCAATTAACAATTTAAAAGATAAATAAGATTAAATATTCAAAAAGTATTTACCTACTGTGAGTAAGACCTTTTTGCAAACGTGATAGTGTGGAGTAGTCGATAAATTATTAGACTTCTAACGCCATATTCGAATGCAGGAATGGAGAGATTACCCAGTCAGTAAGGTAGAGTATTCTGCCAGCAACGTAGTACACACTGTCGGTAAGACTCGATAGTATAGAACTCTTACTTATCGATGAATCAATCAACAGAGTAATCTACACTATCAACATGATATCCTTTAAAGATAAAATGCTATAGTTGAAAAATGTTATGAAGTTACACTTTTAACACGCGGCATTTCGCGCACCCACTTTGTTTTTATAGTTCATTCAAAGTCTCCCTTTGATTCTATTGAACTGTTATTTCTGTAGAGAGTTGATATCGACCCTGAGATTAATTAAGTGTATATTATTATCGATGAATGTTTTCGCCTTCGAAACAATTCCTTTTGCGCCTACCGTCGCTAATTCTTGCATTCTATTAACCTAACATTGTGTATTCTGTAGTGACCAAATATCGACATTCACTCTTATTTCGTATTCAATCATGCTGTCGAGTATTACATACTCCTGTATCTTGGATTTGAATACCGATTGGTGCTTTCTATATTCGGTATCTGATTAGTAAAGAACACTTGCGTTCAATTTCACTGATGGATTAGAAATACAAAAATTCAAGATGAAGTGTAGCGTGCTATCACCATGAGGACTACCTTTATATTCTAACTTTTGATTTAGAAAAACCAAACTAAACTGAACTTATAACTTACAGGTACTGCTTAGTAATTAAATCTAATTACTGTAATACATTACCATAATTTCAAATTAACAATTTAGTGAAGTATTCATTATTCAAATATTTCTTTCAATATATTTTTCTGATCCACGAATAAGGATGCTTATTTTCCTAACACTAAACAATTCATAATTCTACACTTAGAGATGCTTGAGCCTTGAATATGCTCCTTTACAGTTTCGTTGCCCTAAATCTCAAGTATTCGTCGTCCTACTTAAACAATTCCATGTCATTACGCCAGGTTGTCTCAGTTATAAAATGACGAAACTGGAATGAACGAAAGAAAAGGATTTCCATCCAGTCTCTCACGTGGCAAACAAGCTCAAAAGCGTCGCGAAATTCTATTTTATCGGTCGGATCTTCGCCACCGAAATTCGTACTGTTCTCCCGCGCGTCCTTTTGTTGCAACTTAACAGTCATCTATGCTACAACGACGTTTCCTTCCATGTAGTCACAGGGACCATTCTCTAGACAAGACATTTAATATGTGTACGAGGTAATTAAGGCAGCTTTGTCCAACGAATTAATACTCTATTCAGAGGATCTCGAGGATTAATGCGACGCTATTGTGTCATTGAAGGACATGAATATTCATGATTGTTTTATTCAGCATAGTAGTAAAGTACGTTTAACGCATTACGTATTGTCTGACGAAATCGTGAATATTGTTTCAAACTTAAACGAGTTAATACTACATATTTGCATGCATGGTTGTAATTTGAAGAGTTTTCTAGATTTACTAATTGTTTATTTTGAAAGCAGGTGAAACTTTGGTTAGAGTCGATCGTGAAAGGAAGGTTCGTAACGTAACTGTTATGCTATTTATTTACTTTGTAGGAAATGTGCAAGTATCACTATTAATCTAATTAAATGGAAATATTGACGTTGGTTTTACCTTCTTTTGCAAGAGTCAAAATATTGGCAGTAAATAGATATTTACACTTAGGGGAGACTATCAAATGGAATGGAAATAATAGCGTACTTTTTAATATTATAGTATAAGTCAAAATGGAATTAAATAATGTATGAAATTTAATATGAAATTTAATATAAAATATAATACGGGATTTAATATGAAACAATAACATAAAGATTGACCAAACGTTTCACAAACACTGTATAGAGAAAGTGTAATAACACTGCCCCGTGAGTTTTGTCACGTACCCCTCATGCTCTTGACAGGTTGCGTATTCAGGACTGTGTTGTCTCAAACAATGCGTCATAGACCTAGAAGCAAGTCAGATACTAAATATAGTATCTGACCGATACAATTTCGTTTAATCAATTCTTTTCGAGACAAACATCATACCTCGAAACATCCTGTTCAGCGATCCAAATTAATTTCGCTCTACAGATTCAGAAATCGCGTTCCCCTCTGTTTTGCTCTATGTCTCAAGTGTCGTTTAGCGGAAAGACTTTTATATATGGTGCACTGATGTCACTACAGGTATTTTTTTTTTTCTTTCAATATTTCTCCAGTGATCACAGAGTGGATGATTCTTTCTTTTTTTTTTTTTTTAATTGTTCTTTCATTCCAATGACCACACAGTGGCTGGTTAGAAATTTAGACTGTTGGAGGCACGAACACTGTAAAAACTTGATCAACGTTTACGTATGAGACACCGATACCACTAAACTAGTTGGTCTTAAAATATTTTTGAAAATTGCGAGCTTTTTCCACGCGGAACGCAACTTACGAGGATAATTACGAGGTGATTGCATCGCGTGTGGCGGTAGGGACCAACCTTAAATTAATATGAAGACGGTGTTGAAGAGTACAAGTACAAATTACAATAAATGTCTCGGCACCGTGCCAAACGATAACATCATAATGCACCTCTGCTCGAGGTGAGCATTACTCCATGCGCATTGACCTTCTTCGGTGCAACGCAAGGCTGCCGCCATCACGTTCGTGGCGCAGGTGTAACGTTATATGAAGAAGCGCAGCTTGCGTAATCGCGTATAATAATATCCACGCGTGCATGAAGTCAGTGACTTCGGGCATGTAGAAAGCCGTGCTCGTCAAAACAATTTTGATTTTCTTCCGCGTTCCTTTCAATTGTATCATTTTCCTGTCCTGAAAATTTTTGAATGTTGGACGACGTCGAACGTGAGACGATGAAGAAATGTAACACGAAATAAAAATATGAAATATTCTTCTGAAAAGAACCCTATCTGACCTATCAATCCTAATAACGATTACGTAATCCCTTTACCGATATTATAATGCAGGGAAAAGTTTGGACGGAGTTTGTTATCGTCTAACCGAGTCACGCAAAATGTGTCTACGAGTTACAACATTGCAAGCCATAGTTACAGAACCTGCCTACTTTGTCGGAATTTATCGTTAACGCTGAAGTCGCCCATCGATTGATGCAAGTCGTGTAACCTACTGTCGAGTCCAGTCTGTCTGAATTATAGAAATCGTGTTGGTAAACCTCGTCCATTGGCCATTTGTCTGCGACAAGAATGCAATTTGTGTAAATTACTTAACATGACGCAGATTATTGTGATAAATTGGATTTTATGCAAGTATTTATAGAAGTATTTTATAAAGTTCTGTGTGACCTATTAATGTATCATTGTACCACTTAAAGATATCGAGTCATTTATCTTCATCTACAACTATTACATTAATAATTATGTGTTTTGTACGGAACAAGAATTCTACTAAAAAATAATTAGTTCATTTTCTTTATTTTTTACTGTGGAGGATTTGAATTTAGGAGTTGGAATGCCTATGCTACTGCTAAAATAATATTTTACTGATAATACAATATTATGTACTATAATTTTATCTCATAATCTTGATGCATTTCTTCTCCATACCAAAACAAATACAGCATAACACAATCCATACTTAATTAATACTTCATGTCGAGAAATCTCCGTGTCAATGTATGAACTATTTGTAACATTCAAAAGTGAACTCATTTTTATGCTACTCTCACTGCACACTGCGCCTCGACTGAACTAAATTCAACATTTCTTATGTGTTAATTAAATCTCTTTTTTATGTTTGATAGTCAGGTGGAACGGAACAATCGCTGTACACGACGAACAGTGTAAATGAACTTTATATCCGTGCTTTCATTTGCTTCGTTTTTTCCATCGATGGCGCCGAAAGCGATCTCGATCCTCGCCCCCTTCTAGCGGCAATGAAAGTAGGTAAGTGCATTTTCTTCCGAGAAACCGGCTCCGAGATCAGGCATAAATCATGACGGATAAAGCAGGTTGTCCGCGTTGTTGATTCCATTCCGTCTGCCAGTGTTTCATGTCACGTTAAAATCAGCCATGGATAAAAATTAATGGTCGTTTAATGTAATTCACTTTCTATATTACAGGAAGATTTGCAACGGTTGCGTTAGTTTTTTTTTTTTTTCATGTTGAGATCTCAGGAAGTTTCGCGAGAATTTTTGACTAATTAATCTGATGGGGCCTTTAGAATCCTGTACGTCAATTTTGAAGTATTATCCGGAGCAGATTTTTGAAAGTGGTTGTACTTTTGCTTCTTAAGTTTCTCATTATTTTGCACCTGTATCTTTCGATCAAATGGAAGAACTACTTTCCAAATACAAAATAGCAGTGCCATTAGCGATGATCTGGTAATTTGGACGTTCTAATCAAGTTCCTTTATTAATTTCTTCTGTTTAATTTCAACAGGCCAGCAGATTGAAATTACTATTATTATTATGCATCTCATTTCTACGTTAAAACTTTCAATCCAAATATGACTAAATTTGTAAACTTTGTGTCTTTTAATAAACGTGATCACTTGGTTCTACAATTTTACAGACGACGTATTGAATCTTGTTTATCATGAAAGATATTTTAACTTTCACTACACTTTTCGTTATTTTAATCGTTTATATTTAATTACATTGAGAAAGCATTTTCCAAGTGTTTTATTATTATTATCGTCAATTCATTTATATTAATTTGCCAAAATTCAATGCACTTTTCGTATGTACAAACCTCTCAAGGAGAAAGTTTTCGTTCCTTTATTTTCACTTGAAGATATTGAAAAAAATATCACACTTCTTCGCACTAAGCTTGCAGGTGTAAATTTAACCTTCGCGCGACGTTCAAATTTTATGTGAAACAGCACTTTGTAAATTCAACTCTTGTGAACTGTTGTACACAATTTTACCTGAAGCGGCACATTAGCTTTTATTGGCTATCGAATCATGCATCCCTTGCACGTTAATGAAAGTCGGTAAACTTTATGTAAATGAAATATTTTACCAGTGTTACTTAAATATAACTTTACTCTAATAGAATTCAACCTTTTTGTCTAAAGAAAAATATTTCTAAAGCAATTAAATCTATTAATTTAGTGAACTGGAATGAATTACTGAAACAGAAATCTAAATTAGCCTTCTAATGGCTCGAAGGCCACGAATGTTCCGTACACGGCGTGTGAACTAGGAACATCAATTATAATAGCTCTCCCAAATGAAAAAGCAACATTTTCAAGGCGTTTTAGATATCATCGATGATCGCTCCACGCGATATAAACCATACTTTCATTTACCAGATGCACCGTGAGGATCACGCCGTGAGCATTCAACGCAATTAACACCCTATTAAATTATACTACGAAAACATTCAATGCTGTACTATGCTTCCTATTTTCTAATTAATTTGAGAAAGACAATGCTTCAACCTGTTATTTACTTACACGTTTCTACCCTTTACTATAGAATCGTGTTCAGAATTTATAATGTTGCATGTTATAATTGAATTAACATACAAATGGAACTCGTACGGAAAGATTTAATGATATCAAAATCCATAGCGCTTGAATCTGTTTACAATAATATTTTGTGTCGAACATAGCAAAATTTAATTTCTTATTACTGATATATGTAGAGAGGAATCACATTAGCGAATAAAAAATTTGAATGCCAGACACATCGACCTAATAATTAAGAAGCATGTTATCAGTAAACTAAGATGATAACACATATTATAATAAGTGTACATCAAGCTAGCATGATTCAATTTAAATATTTCGAATCTATAAAATGCGATTTTTTCTACTTAAAAATATATCAGTAATTAAATTGTGTAAGAAGATTACGACACACGTGAATTACTGTACAAATAATGTTCAACAAATTATGTTGTTGATCTATATGTATCATAAATAACATTAATTTTGAGCACAACTTGTATTATATACTTATCAGGTAAAAAACGATGAAATTGTTGAAAATGTTATTAAGATCTGTGAGGCCAGGAAGACAAGGATTCTATTAGTATATTCGCACACTTCTCAAGCATACACTGCTTTAGGAGCAGCTTTGAAATAGTATCTGACCTAAACAGAAAGTAATTTCACCGAAGCAATGATATTAGAAAGAATATATCAGCATTGGAAACTCAGAAAGGAGAAAGGAGGAAATAGCTAAATTTTCATCCAAAGTTTCTTGTTTCAGTTCGATAGCAGAATATTCTCTAATAAAGTATCCCTCTATATGTGAAAATTCAATTAAAGTAATAATATAGGTAAAACCATGCCCAAGTTTGAACATGCGTCCACTTTAAACGTTTGCTTTCAGCTTCGAACAAATCTGTTCGCTTCTAACACTCGAAAAGTATACACAACACACACATCGAGTAAACTAAAATTGATTAAAAAAGCTTCATAATATATTGACAATAGAAGCAAAGTCTAAATTAAGATAATAAAATATAAAGTATAAAATAAATTAGCTTATAATTCGAAATTAGAAGATCACGTCAACAATACGAGAAGTAATTACGCGTTTCAAAAGAGAAATTTGAAACCAAAATGACAAACCCTTAATGACTCTCACTTATTGTTTTCACAACTTCACAGAATCAATCCTGAAGTACACATAAATGAAGGAATAACTATATTTCCATTTCTTCAAATTAACAGTTGTTTCAAGAGTGGCGAGGCCTCATTCGTTTACACTTGAAAAGGCCTGTGTTGACGTTGCCGTTAAAAACAGCTGTAAGATCTCGTTGTCAGTCAGGATCACGAGATCATTATCGAATCACGATTATAAAACGCTTCCGTCGGCCTGGGGTCGACCTATATCCAGCCAACCGGACGCGTTTCACGCGGGTTCGAATAATGCAAGTTACGTTCACGCACTCCCATACAATTTGGCAATGTCAGACCCGCGACGTTCTGGTTTGGCAATGGCCATGCCAACGTTCGACCTCCGTGAATCTAATTTACGGGTGTTACACGCCGTCAAAGAGGACGGAGTTACTATCCACGGGGGCCCCCACTATAAGCAAAACCGTTCGTATAGGTTATAAAGGACCGAGCTCGGTACTATACCACTGCACTCTCTCAGTGAAACTCACGGAGGATCGATCCCCGGCTACTTGTACCCTCCTCATCCGCAACGCGTGCACCATGAGGATTATAACTTTGGTACGTAGCCAGCCATTATCCAATTTCGTCTCGATCAACTTTTCGCGTGGACTTTTGCACGGACTTTTGCATGGGGCGGGCTTTGAATCGTGAATTTGTTAAAGTGTGACAAGGTAACGGTGATTCTTTAGAATAATATCGGTAAACACTCCCCTAGTAATCATCGAAAGTGCTCTGACTTAACTTCTATTAGGAGTGGATTTATTCTTTTGGGCTGGACAAATATTTCTCGTGTGTTTTAAATTTTATGGATAATTGTAATCGATTAGAATTAGGATTTTAATTATTATAGTGGTATCTATCGATAGTTGTTGACTCATATTTGGTGTGAAAGTTCGTTCAAGTATAAATCAACACCTCAAGTTAACGTATATAAATATTCGCGAATATTAATACTTACATTGATATTTCTTGATAATGAACAAAGATATTTATTGACTGTAAGAGTGGCACTTGGTCATTTATAGTTTAAATGGAAGTAAAGGTATTAATAAATACGAAATTTTCCTCCCAAGAAATTATTAGGCGAACGTGAATTCGTAACTTTGACGAAAAAGACTTAGATATCATCTAACCAGATGAATATTAAGATAGGAGATATGAATTATGAGTTGTTGGATGGTGATGGAGAAACATTAGTGTCGCTTCGTACTGAATTTTCGTATAACCCGCTCGAGGCGTGTTGCTATGCTCGTCGTCTGGTTGGTGATTTCAATGCCGGGTCAGTGATAGCGCGCTGGTTTCGAAGTGTCAGTTTCTGTTGAAAATTATGCAATGAACTGTGATCGGAATACATGCTACAGAGATAGACGTTCGTGAGTGTGTTTACAAATAGCCTTAAGTAACATTTTCAGATTAAAGATAGACTCATCGTAATCTCTATTAAATCCAGCGTCTGTTAATAGGGGAAAGATAATTAACACTGATACTAAACTTTTATTTTACAGAGAGTACTTAATTATAATTGACAGCTTTAATATTTAAAAATGTATGTGTATTTATCCGTCATGTCGACAATTGATGGAAGTTTCACTACCTTCTTATTTTATATTTTTCTTACAATTGAAATGGTATTTGCATCCTGTCTTAATATTTGAAAAACATTTCTAATCAATTATTATTTCTACGAATAGAAGATTCTCCTTCTTGAACGATATTATTAAATTCGCAATTCAACAATTTCGAATATATAAATTTACCTTCTTACTTCGCACAGTAACCAAGTCGTGCAGAATTCTTATTGAATGGAATATTGTTCGCACAGTCGCTGCAAACGTGCAGCAAACAATAGTTTCTGTTACCACGTATATTCATTCAGACAATAATTCATTAAACCCCTATGTACACAGGCTTCATCCTGTTGTGGGTACACACATTGCTAAAACGACTCGTTAAGAATAATTTCCTATAACATGAGACTTTATATTCCACCTTCAACTTAATCCCCTTTATGGAAAAGTACAATCTACAATAAATTACACAGTCTTCTGCCTATTTAATGTTCTTCTCAATACTTCTACAGAAGTTTAAAATGATTAAAATACGAAGAAAATTTATTCCTGGATTTCTGTTGGAAGTAAGGGTGGTTAATCCATAAGTGACGTTAATTATTTATCGGTGGAAAGAAAAATATTGATCATTTTTATTTAATTTATGTACTTATAAAATTCGACAGTTTCTTTGATTGCCGTTCGTGGAGATATCGTGTCCCACAAGTGATGTTAATTATTTATTAGCGAAAAGAAATATATTGGTCAATTTCCGTTCCATTTATCCATTTTCTGACATGTCTGCGTGTCCTTATAGATTAACAAGTATGTGCCTATATGGAGCAACGAAAGTGTCGCAATTTATGTGTCGCCTTACGTGCCGGTGCTTCGCCATTCGTTGAAAATTAATCGTAAATAACGAAAGCATTTTCTTTATGTAGTCAGAGAAGCATTCTTTCCCCCTTAATTCCTGTGGGAACTTTCGTCCGCTACGGATTTCACTTATGATCTTCTCGCGTGAGATCGAACAATTAATTGTGCGAAACTGCGTAAAAGAAACGTAAGTAAAATTTTTATTTCACCGTTTCTCCTGTGTGACGATTGTTCATTCGTGAAGGAATAATTAATTATTCAAGTTCGATTCTTCTATTCTTTTCCCGTTTTGTGGTTAATTTTCTCCTTTCATGAGGGAAGCGCGCGTATTCTGTGCACGAGTAAATAACAATGAATTTTCTAATTGTCCGATCAACTGATGAATAATATCTGATTTGAATAAATTATGAATTCTGTGGAGTTGTGAATTATTCCCATTTTAAATGAATTATTCGTTATTTCTAATACTGAGTTACTTCCTGTGACATTTTCAATTGTACGACAAATTGCAAGACAAAATGTTCACTGCGGTTAAAACACTTATTCTTAAAACAAGTATTCTTCCATTCTTCTCTCATTTTATGGTTACTTGAGCAACTGATAAATTGCTTCCATTTGTGAGCTACTTTCGTGATTCTTCATTACACTAAATACTTGTAGCATAATTGTAAAGAATTTTCTATTTCATTCTGAATACTTGACGAGTAGTTTATGGTTAACACCAGTAAATTTTAATTACATCTTTACTATGTAACTGGATGATTAATCCACAAAGCTGCAAACATTTAAATATTATGGTACATAGCGATTTCGAGTAATTTGTCCTTGACTGTATCGCAATTATTCCTGCAACTCGATTTTTATCGTACATTTCTAACGTATGCGACGTTGTTAGAAACGTCGTTAAAGAAAATACGAGACCAAGTGGTGAAAGATCAGCAATGTGGTTGACCGGCGAGTTTTATTACGGCTGCTTTCACCAATTTAGACCGAGACCCGTTATTTCGTACATTCTTTTCACAGTAATAAACTAACGTTTAATTTCATTGTCGTGAACTTCATTGTCAAATGTTACTTAGTCACGAAAGCTGTAAACCAATGTCAGAACGAGACAGTGATTTACATGTTACAAGTGGTCGTGTGAATTTCAAAAGTCACGTTTCGAATGTAAAAATATTTTAATAATTGGTAGTAATTTCATGGAAATGAAAACCCTAAATAATTAATTCCCTATTATTTCGTGAGCTTCAAATATAATTTTATTAACAGTTTTGTGGACAGTAATCTGTGTAGTATGTGTTAAATTTTGTAAATGATCTTCGTTTGAAGAAACACCTTGTGTGCTGCTGTACTTTCTACCTGTATTCAAAATACATTACGACATTAGATTCACAAATCGATTTCTACAGTGAAAATGGATCGATATGGTTTTCACTTTCGTTTTAGTCTGGTCAACCATGAATAACAGCAGACGGTACGCAATCGAAACCGGCATGCCAGGTTAATATGAATATTTCATACATTCCGACCTGCTTCTAATGCATTTCACAGTTTCATGCCTGGTTCAATTGGTGACAATGCTTCGCCAAAGGTTTCTCAATTTTAACTAAATTTTGAACAAACAATTCTGAAGTAGTATGTATAAAGTGAAATTTCTTTAATTTGATATCATGGAAGTAGTCATCAATTAATCAGTTTATACTTTCTGAAAAATATATTAACAAAGATATTCATTTCAAAATATCGTATAACAATTGCTGGTCTGAAAAACTTGATTCTTTTGCAAGTGTCGCTCGACTAGAACCTACCTCACCGATTATTCGATACAAATCAACGGATCCTATCGCACGTTCGACAGAAACGTGACCGTCATAACAACGACCAGTCGATTTTGAACGCGTCGTCGCCGAGACCTAGATTCGACTCATAGAAACCAATGACGGTGAAACTAACCAGCAATGAATTGCGAAAGCGAGTCTAATACGTACGACGCGGGGGTAAATCGTTGTTGCTTTCTTCGGTTATAGTCATCAAGCATCGACACTTACTCTCTACCGCGACACCGATAGTCCAAGCGAGTTGAAATATAATATTTACTCGTCTGCCACGAATCAAAAGCGACATCATAGGCAGTTTTGCCTATATTTTTTATTATTCGAGGTAAAAATTTAGTTGAAAACCAGAGAACACATCTACTTTTGCTCTGAATTATGTTTTATATAAGAAATCTATTTGGTTTCGGAGCATTGAACGCACAACATCTGTGTTAGAAACCAGAGAAAACTGACGTTGCAGTCATTACTCTTCAAAGTAAGAAATAAAATACGTACAATGTCATGCATGGATTACGCTATGTGTTAAACTGAATGTGTTGGCCAAGTAAAAACATTTTCAACAGAAATCTGTTATTTAAATCTTTTATTTTATCATAATACACACTGAGAATACTTTCCTAGTCATTTGAATAGTTTTTATTAACCTTAGATTAAAGTATGATTAAATTCTTTGATTACGCAACAGTAATGTGCTTGAAATGTCACGCGTAATTTCATCATAATCTGGCCAAGTAAAGTACTCGTAAAATCTTGGCAGATAAAAAAATTCCTATGCATGCTATTAATTAGCCCCTTTTGAGTTTGTCACTCAACAATATTTTACTTCATTGTAAATAAATAAGTAAATAGAATAAAATAAAAATTGAGTACAAAATGTTTGAGGTATCAGTGAAATCTTACTCAGTGCCAACATTTTCAAACGTGCCATTAATCAGCCTCTTCTAAAAGTACCAAAATTAACTGCTTAAAACTTTCAGCACCGAAATGCTAGCATTGAAATATACATCCATCAATAATAATAAGAGAAAAAGAAATCGATCTAAAAAGAGATCGAACGAGACAAAAATTCAGTAAAAATCGTTCAACGAACCTGTTGAACGTATCAAAACTAACCGCGTACCAAAATTGGCAGGCGTGCCATTAATTTTCCATCGGCGCGGTAAACCGAACCGTGGGCTTAAAAAGGTACAGAACCGCTGCTTTAGGAAATTGGCGTAACGCGAAACGGTACGGTAACAGTTTCCAGTAAACGGGGTTTTAGCGCTGACTTTCCCGTTTCTGCACGCCTTCGCAGGAACGGGCT